CGGGGCGGCCGCGCGCTGCCGGCGCGGGGCTGGGCGGCCGCTCGGCAGCACCCCCGGCCCGGCCCCGCGCCTCACGCTCGCCGTCTCTCTGCCAGGGTGGCCAACTCCATCCGCAGGGTGTTCATCGCCGAGGTGCCCATCATAGGTACCGGCCTTGCCGCGTGATCCGCCCGCTTGTGGCCCTTGCGCTGCCGCTCCAGCCAGCGCCTCCCCGTTCCCGTCTCCTTCCCCCCCAATCCTGTTGCCCTGCTCAGGGCGGCCCTGGTGTCCAGCCCTTGCGGATATAACCCGTGGAGCGAGAGCTCCTTCCGCCTCCCCGTTTCGGGGTCGTGTTTTCCGCTCGGGTCCCTGCCCCCCGCGCGCCTTCCTGAGCTCGTCCCCTCTCCCCGCGCAGCCATCGACTGGGTGCAGATAGACGCCAACTCCTCCGTGCTGCACGACGAGTTCATCGCGCACCGGCTGGGTGAGTCCCGCGCGAGCGGCAGGAGGGGCCCGGGCACACGGACCCGCCGTGCCGTGCCGTGTCCCGAACTGCCTTCTTTCCCCAGGCCTCATCCCACTCACCAGCGATGACATTGTGGATAAGATGCAGTATTCCAGGGTGAGTAGAGTGAAACATCTTTGATTTTTTTTTTTTTTTTTTTTTTTTTCTAGAAGGGAGGGTGCCAAAAGGAGAGCTTTGGCATCAAGGTTTTGACCTGTGTGTGTCCTAGGACTGCACGTGTGATGAGTTTTGTCCAGAGTGTTCTGTGGAGTTTACCCTGGATGTCCGGTGCAATGAAGACCAGACTCGTCACGTCACATCGCGCGATCTCATCTCCAACAACCCCCGCGTCATACCGGTCAGTCTGATGTTCCTCTCGCCCTCTCTTCGTCCCCATGGGAGCTACGGTGCGCAGTATACGGACTAAGTGATGCCTTTTGAGAAGACCTCGTGCGGCCTGAAACGCCAGTGGGAATGTAGTGAAAGTGCAAGGCAGGAGTATCTGAGGGGGGAAAAGCAGTGTCTGCCCATGCCGTCCACTGCACTGCCCTGTTCTCCTGCCTTGGCTCTCTGGTGGCCTCTCCTCTGTAGGCACTGTGGTCTTTTTAAGACCTCATCCTACATCTTAAGCACATGTGAGGCTTTAATGTAGCCCCAGTAGTGTCCATCTCGCCTTAGACACTCAGATCTGGTGCACCGGTGTCCTGCTGTATCAGGATGGCATCTCCGGGCTGCCGTTGCCAGGCCTTTGAAAGCCAGGCTGCCCCTGCACTTGGGAGAAAGGGGCATTTCTCTGTTAACRCTTCTGCTGCTGCTTCTCTTGTGCAGGTGACGTCTCGGAGCAGAGACAACGACCCCAATGACTACGTGGAGCAGGATGGTGAGTGAAGCCGCACTGGGCATATGGGCTGCAGTCTCTGGTCACTCATAATTACTGCCTTTGCCCTCGTGGGATCCTGCACGTTCACGTGTCCCCCGCGGCCTTCTCGAGCTCCTTTGTGCCCTTCCTCAGACATCCTCATCGTGAAGCTGCGGAAGGGGCAGGAGCTGCGGCTGCGAGCGTACGCCAAGAAGGGCTTTGGCAAGGAGCACGCCAAGTGGAACCCCACGGCCGGCGTGGCCTTCGAGTACGACCCGGACAACGCGCTGAGGCACACGGTGTACCCCAAGCCCGAGGAGTGGTAGGTGCTGGGCTGACAGAGGTGGTCCTATGGTGAAACCCAGGGTGTTAGTAAAACAACAGCTGTAATAATGGTTCAGAACTTGAACCTGGTGATTAAGGGCCTTTAAACTTAAGCATTCACATTTCTGCAGTGTCTGTGTTATTCTTTTTTTCATCACTSTTTGCCCTCAGTGTCAAATGTGGATCAGCCTGGAGAAGTTAGGAAAGATTTCCAAAAAGGCACTTACACTTGAGCTCCAGGGGTAATTTTGGCAAGTAACTGACCACAGCATCCCCTTGCACCGACTGTTCTCTGCTCCGTGCAAAGCGGCCTGCCCCGTGGCTGCCCTTTGCCTCTTCTCGTGCAGTGTCCTTGAAACAGTTCCCGCTGTTTTGTGTCACTCCCCTTCACATTCTTCCCTGCCACTCCTGCATAATTCTTCTTCCCTGGGAAAGTTGTGTGCAGTAAAGCTTGAGGAGTGAATAGAACGGCTCTGGGCAGAGGAGGATATTGTGGGAGCACAGAGAGGAAGATTAAGTTGCAAGGTTTTCTTTTGAAGACCTGGTTGAGGAAGGCCCAGCGGGTGTCCCCCACAGGTCTCCTCRCTCCTGGAGCTCCTGGATGTTCCTCTTGGGCCTCGTCCTCTGCCCAGCCCCTGGCAGAGCCCCGTATCGCTCTGTTCCAGTCGTGGGCTGTGTCTCCACCTCAGCAGCGTGGTTTTGCTTTTGGGAAGCTGCCGCTCTGCTGTGACTGGGCTGAGGACCTCAGCCAGCGGGACTTTTCCGCCAGTASAGTCCTGAGGTGCATCTAGTCGCCCTCCTGTCACGGGCAGCACAGGGAGAGAAAGCTGTGAGCAGAGGGGCTCAGCAGCCACTGCTCCCCCGGCCGCATGTTGCTGTYGGGCCCTCCTTGCCAAGTTGCTCTGCAAGCAGTGGCCCGGGCTATGGTCCTTCCCCCTGCCTGTCCTGAGGCCGGCTGCTTGGCCCCGTTGCAGAGCCTGCTGCTGTGCTGCCCCTTGCTTAATTCAGCTCTCACTAAATGAGTTTCCTAGACGGGGAATCAGCCCTGGTTTCACACCTCGAGCAGGGTTTTTTTGCTGCCTCGAAGACGCCGCGCCGGGTTTGCGCTCTGGAGACGTGAGGCGCCTTTGCTGTGGAGGGTGGAGTTGCAGGGGAAGCTGTAATGTGCATAAAATGGGCAGAGAGCTGCCTGCAGCAGTCTCGCTCCTGGTTTATGGATGGAGGGAGAAACCCCSGCTCGGCTTTGATGGCTTCTGCAGGGCACGTTCCTGAGTCCGGTTCAGTGAGTCTGGGTGAGGACGGGAGATTCGGGCGTTGGTTCCTTCGGCCGTTCGTCAGGGTGATGCCCCGGSATCCGCAGCAGTAACCGGGCCGGCTGGTCACGCGAGGAATCTGGAAATGGGGATGCTTTTCCCTTAGCCTTAGTGACCTTCCCATGAAACTGGACTTTGGGCATGGGTGGTGTGAGGGGGTGGTGGTGGGAAGGCGGCGYGGAGCGAGAGGAGGCCGCTGTGCAGCGGGTCTTCAGTCAGGAGCCCATCACAAGACCTGATGTGCAGGAATTCCGGGCTCTCCATCACCAGGAGCTCAGGGAGTGGAGTTTGGGAGTTTCCGGGCAGCCAGGTGATCTGTGGCAGGCACGGGGCGTCGAAGACTGGCTGACTCCCTTGGGCCACAGATTGGATGCTTGAGAAGCAAGAAAATCTCCTTGATCTCGATCCCGTTCCAAATTGAGATGTGAAAGGATTTTAAGTTTTGTTAYGGGGCCAAATAGGTCTCTGCTTTGGTTGTGATCTAGGTACTCATTCTCTGGCATTGCTGAAGGTAGATTTTGGAGTTTTTCTCGGAGTCACGTGGACACATGCGTGCAGGCTGAGGTTGCAGGTTTACTTTCTCCTGGACACAGGCTTTCCCAGCGTGAGCTTAGGAGAGCTTGGGCTTTAGGAGACCTCAGGGAGCAGCCCCGGCTGCACACAGAGGGGTCAGCGGTGAGGAGTTTGCTGCTCTGCGTGGCCCAAGGCACTTGCTAATGCAGATTGTTTTGTTTGATGGCAGACAAGGCTGCGTCCTCACAAACCTAATGCTTTATACAATAAGCTAGGGGTCTGGAAACAATTTTGGAGAACTCCTTTGTGAAATGCAGGTAAAAGCTGGAAAACCCCCGAGAAATGTTGATTGCCATGGGAGCTGTCTGTTCCTTGCTAATATGTCTTTCTGTCCAAATCCATCTTAACCTCTCTGGAGACAATAAAGAGGTAAATGCCTGTTATCCARAGAGAAAAATATATATCCAAAGAGATAAATATACAGATGTCTGTTTATCTCCTGGTGTTTTGTGAGGTGTCTGAGCATTGCAGACAGAGCCAGGAGTGCTGAGCGGCACAGGCTGCCGCCCTGAGGTGCCGGGAGAGGGGCCAGGGCTGGTGTTGCTGCTGCCCGCAGGCCCGTCGGGCCTCCCCATGGGCGCTGCGCTGCACGCCCCGGGTGCTGGAGCGTTCCTGTGGCTTTTCGGCCCGGGAACCAGTAGCAAGGAAACAGCACAGGCTCCGTTACTCCGTGAACAGGGAGGGCCGGCGTTACAAACACGGTGCGTGCCGGTGGCGGCGATGGCCCTTCCCTGCGAGCAGCCTGTCCCCGCGCTAAGCAGGCCGGTGATGGGACTTTGTGCTGACTCTCCTTGCTCTCTGATTCCAGGCCCAAGAGCGAGTACTCCGAGATCGATGAGGAAGATGCTCAGGCTCCCTATGATCCTAATGGGAAGCCAGAAAGGTAGGAACCTGAATGTGATCCCACTGCTGGGAATCAGGGCGATGCTGCAGGGCCCATCTCTCTCACTTCTGCTGATACGTGTCACATACTCTGCTTGCCAGCCAGGGAGCTGGTGTTCCCTGAAAAGCAGAGCAGGACTTGGAGTTAACCGATGAAATGCCCCAGACTGGCAGGTTTTCCCCTCTGGGGAGTACTGGGCTATTCTGAGTTCGTGTTAATAAGCAAAGCAGTGGGTGGAATGCAAGGCTTGGGCAGGAGGTGGCCTGGGACGCCCGCCCGCGAGGACGCCGGTGTCGTTGGCGCGTGCGGTGTTGGTGCCGCACGGTTCCATGTGGGGCTCCAGCTGCCCCACGGTGCCTGGGCTGGGAGGGCCTCAGCGGTGCCCTGACCGCCGCGTGGGTCCTGCCCGCTCGGGACRGGAGCGACCGTGAGCAGCTGCCAGGGGCTCCGCCTGGGTCGGGACGGCTGGCACAGCACTGCGGGTGCCCTCTGCTCTCTGCACCTCGTCGCAGAGCAGGTGCTAACTTGCCCACCCTCCTCAGGTTTTACTACAACGTGGAGTCCTGCGGTTCTCTCCGCCCGGAGACCATTGTCCTGTCCGCGCTCTCCGGCCTCAAGAAGAAACTGAGCGACCTGCAGACCCAGCTGAGCCACGAGATTCAGAGCGACGTCCTCACTATAAATTGAGGTGCCCCTTGGCAGGAGACTGCCCAGCCACGAGCTCTGTGGAAGGTTCCTGCCTCTGCCTGGCAGGGCCTGGGCAAAGCTGCACCTGCCTGGCCGGAGGCTTTGGCCTCCCTGCCTCCCTCTGCCCTCCCTGTCCCACCCTTCCTGACCCTTCCAGCCCCTGCTGCTCAGCAACACCTCTTCCCTTACACTCCCTCTCAAATAAGGAAGATAAATAAACAGTAAACAGGACATCGAGACCTGTATGGTAAAGAATTTCTGGGTGTTGTAAGTGTCTTTGCTGAGCTGGAATTTCTCCCTGTGATCCTGGTGTTTCAGTCCAGGGTTCTGGACTCTGGTCAGGTGGCTTTCGGAAGTGGGAAGCACATCCCTTGGTTACACAACCTGTCTTATTCGCATGTCCCTTCCTTACTGTGCCGAATAAAGCCTTACCCCCTATGTTCAGCWATCCCTGAAAGCTCGTCCGGGACTGCAGGAAGAGATGTCACATCATTTACTTCTCTCCAGTAGACGTTAACTTAATGAGATCTGCTTTGGAGGGGGCACTGCTCTCCACCGCWGATTGCTGCTCTTGATGCTGTGCTCTGAGGAGAGCGAAACCCCCYCCAGGCAGTAGCCCTGGCGTTTTGGAGCCGGGGCTGTCGTTGAAGCCGGGGCTTGAAGCTGGGCTGGGCCACGGGGCCCCGGCGCGCCAGGGCGCTGAGCTGTGCTTAAAGGCTCCTCTGGATCGGACTCTCTCCGTATAATGTTTATGTTAGGAAGTGGGACAGCAGGACTCGGGTGTTACTGACCCCCCACAGCAGCCTCAAGTGCCCACGAGGTCAGGGGTGGTTTGTTTGCTGGGCTGGAACTTGAGGCAAGCTCCAAACCGTTGCCACCCTGGCAGCATCCGGGTGCTTTGGGTCACCCCTGCTCTTCCTCCCCTTCATCAGCACCCAGCAGCACTTAGGCTCACTTCCCCAATGACACTTTCCCTCTGAGCCGTGGCCGGAGACAACGTGATCTACGTGGAAGGGGAGGCCGCGGGTGCCAGCAGGGCCTGGCAGGGAGGTGACATGGGCCCCGAAAGGGCCGAGGAGCCTGCGTGGGGCCGAGGCAGCGCTGCCCTTTCCCGAGGGAAGAGCTGCCCAAGCAGGGCCAAGCAGGACCAGCTGGGTGTCCCGCCCCCGCAGCTGCCTTGTCCCTTGTCCCCGCAGGAGGCTGGAGGCCTCACAGAGCCTTCACCCAGCGCGGGGCCTCGCGCCTCCCGCGCGCGCCGCTCAAGGCAGACCGGGAAGGGTGCATCACGGTTGTTTATTGATGGAGCAATTCCTTAAAAAAAAACAAACAAACAAAAAAAAACCCCCTTTTTTTGGTAATAAACACTAAATCCCATCTTCTCCAGAGGAGGGGGTAGCCGGGCCATGCCGGCACGTTCCCCTCCTACTTCTCCCAGGCAGCGTCAGGGTGCCGGTGAACCCACCTGCACCAGCACCTGCACCCGTCCGAGGGGGTGGCAGCCCTTCCCTGTCCCCAAACCGCGCCAGCAGATCCCCAGTGTCACCCACAAACTACACAGACCCAAGAYACGCTGTATTTACAGAGCACAGGTTCCCACAGCACAACGCTTCTCGGCCTAAGAGGAAGGAGCCGGAGCTTGAAGGAAAAGAAACCAACCCACCGAGCAACCAACCCGGCCCCTAGACCGGAAAGAAAACGCGAAGGAAACACCTCAGTTCGTACTGCGATAAAAAGATAGCCCTTCTAAAGGAGTTCAATAAATAGGAGACCTAGAAAACGGATTGCTTGAGTTCAAGCTAGTGAAGCGAGCCCCGCGGGCATCGTTTGCAGCCGTTGCCCCCGCGAGCAGCGTGGCGGCGGGAGCGCGAGCGAGGGGACTGGGGGCTGTGGCGAGGGCGGCTTGCCCTGCTCGGTGCTCCCGGGCGCCCGGCRGCTCCTGGGCCAGCAGGACGTGGTGCCCGGGGCACCGCGGCGCCGACGGGGCAGAAGGTGCCAGGCGGCCCCAGCGGGGCCCTCGCCACGCGCACGAGTCCTCCGCTGGCAGCGGGAAGGGCAGTTTCTCCTGAGACATCTTGATGAGACGGCGTGGGGTTCAGTACCTCAGAGAAGGGCAAAAGGAGCTTGACGGCGCCCCAGGGAGCCCCGTTCTTCACACGGGGTGAGGACGCGGGACGCTCGGCTGGCCCCCGTGGGYCTTCCAGCCACGTCTCCTTCCATGGTCGCCCCAGGAGGGTCCTGGCTGCAGGACATTCAGTGTGGTGGACGCCAGGGACACTCCCTGTGGTGGCAGAATGGCCGTGGGCGCTGTTCCTCTTCCATGGTGCAAGTCCCTGCTCTTTTCCGCCTCCCAGCTGTGTCCTCAGGCCTTAAAAAGCGCCAAGTGTCTCCTCTCCCAAGGTCTCTTCGGTGGCTATGACGTTTGCATTTGCGGGAGAAGGAAGAAGTCTCGTCCTATAGCATACGTATGTGCAATATATATTCAAAATCCTTTAACACAGAGCTAGTTATCATCACCTTCCATAAGGGCAGGCCAGGGTGAGAGCCCCCGCTGCCAGCACCTGGGCCTCARAGGTCTTGGAGTGGAGGTTGCCTCGGCCTGCCTCCCCCTCCAGCTCCTACGGCAAGGGGCTCTTGGCCTCTCCGAGGGGAGCGGAGGGGCCCCAGATCCTTGTCAAGGCCACAGAAAAAAAAAAAAAAGGGGGGGGTGGCACCCAAAAGGAGCCCATCCGAAGCTCCGTGCGCTCCTCGGCTCCGTGGCAGCAGGCCCGGGGGGTTCCCGCCGCGCTGCGGCTCACGGAGACGGCTCGGGCTCCCTGCTTTCGCTCTTGGCGCTYGGCGAGGGCTTTGGCTTCAGGAGGATGAACCTGTTGAGGAGGTCGGTGTCCGAGCGGGCCTGGGCGCCCGCGTACGCCTCGCCTGCGAACGAAGCACAGTTGGTGCCGCGCCGGGGACGGCGCCGGGGCACGCGGGGAGCGCGGCCGCACTCACCGGCGTAGCTGGAGGACTCGGCCATGTTCTGCGAGCCCGTGATGTGGTGCCAGTAGGCGCTGCGGGGCAGCATGGTGGTGGGCGTGCAGGGGTAGGAGAAGTGCTCGGTGCCCTTGTTCAGCAGCTGGAGCGGAGGGACAGGGGCCTGAAGGGGCGCTGGCGGCCACAGTGACACCCCAAAACACCCCCCTTTTGGGCAGGGACCTCCYGTGCCGTCCCCCCTTTCGGGTCACCCCGAGTGCCCTGTGGCCTATCTCACCCTGACGTTTTTCTCCATCTCCAGCAGGACCCTCTTGTGCTGCTCGGCGATGGCCAACGTGGCGCTGTGCACGCGCTGGTAGATCTGCTCGCCCTCCTGGGTCTGGAAGGTGTAGAGGCCTTCGCCCGCGTCGCACATCCTGCGGGGCCGGAGCGCGGGCGTCACGCACGGACCCTCCTCGCTCGCCCCTGCCCCAGCCGCGCTCACGCCGGGCAGCGGAGCCCGAGCCTGGCGCGGACACGGGGAGCCGCCCGAGGCGCTGCACGGGAGCTGAATGAGYGACGCCCCTCACCCAGGCATCAGCCCCAGCGCCCCGACGGGGGAAATGGCAGGGGGAGACAGAGCTGGGGACACTAGCACCTCCTCCCCTCCGCTCCATAAAGGAGCCTGAAGTGCTGAATCAGCGGAAGGTGATGAAAGGGAAGCTCATGTTTCCTCCCCTCYGTAGCTGCTAATTAGCAGGAAAAGCCCCTAACGCAGTCAGGCCCCACGGAACTGAACGGCATCAGCCCCCTGAATGCCCCCGATGGCTGTGGCCAMGCGCCCGGCACCAGGGCTGCCCCGCGCGCCACGGGCCCCGTCTCACCGGCCGGCCTCGAAGGTGAAGCGGGTGGCATCGCGCCCGTAGCGCCGCAGGGAGCACAGGGGCCAGGAGAGCAGCTTGAGGCGGGGGTTGTGCACGTCCCAGAGGTAGATGTTCTCGTGGGTGATCTGCAGCTTGCACTCGCCGTACACATCCAGGTTGGGGCACGGGAGGAGGAACACGTTGAACCGGTCTGGAGCACGCGGYGAGGGGGGAAAGCCGAAACAGAAGCAGAAAATGAGGGGGGCCGAGGCGGGGGTCGCGCGGCGCCGCCGGCGCTCACCCACCCGTCTGCTCGCACTGCACGCCGGGYGCCAGCAGGTCGGGCTCCCCCAGGCTGATGTCGTTGAGGCGGGCGCCCAGGCACTCCACGGACAGCGTCTTGTACCACTCCTCGGCCTCCAGCTCTGCAAGGCAGCGAGCGCGGCCGTCACGCGCAGGGCGGGCGGGCGGGCGGGCCGCCCCACGCCCCCGCGGCGCCCCTGCGCTCACCCGAGTCGCAGGTGAACGTGCGGGCCGAGTCGTCGGGGAAGATGATGGCCACCGCCTGCCTCTTGGTCTCCTTGGGCAGCCGCGTGATGCACTTGACGTTGCTGATCTCCGTCACCTGCGGGGTGGCAAGGGCAGGGTGCCACCGGGGCGCCACGGCGGGGGTTGCCTGCAGGCAGGGCAGCAGCGYGGGGCGAGGGCCTCACCTTGGGGCAGCCGCGCAGGCACACGGACTTCTCATCCGGGTACTTCTCCAGGCGCTGGGGCCCCTTGCTGGAGGATTTCCTGAAGACCAGCCAGCAGCGCCGGTAGATCTGCGAGACACGGAGCCCGCCGCGGCTGCGGGAGGCCGCCAGCGTGCCGGCCTCCCCACACACCTGGACTCCACGCATGCATCGGCCTCCCTGCACACACCGGCCTCTCCACACACCCAGCCTCCCTGCACGCCCAGCCTCCCTGCCTCAGTTCTGCCAGCTCCGAAGCGAGGCGCCCAGCACAGGATCCGGCTCTGCTCGATGCCTCCGAGAGCAACACGTGGAGCAGTCTGCGGGGCCGCTGCGCACCCGTCGGCTCCAGGGCTGCCACACAGCGGGACGTGGCCGCAAGGGGGACCTCAGCCCCTGCCCTAGTGTGGCCCTTGAACACGGCTTCTTTTCCCCAAATGCTGCTTTTTGGCCCCAAACGCCAGCGCCCCCAGGCCTGCAATGCCAGTGCCCCCCGTGATGGATGCTCCGAGGTGGCGGGCGGCACCGGTGCAGGGAAGAGGCTGCTGGAAAAAGCAGCCTCTCCGGGGAGGCGCCGCGGCACAAAGCTGCAGGAGGCAGGCAGCCCGGCCCGGCTGCGCGAAACCCGCAGCGACCCGCGGAGCCGGCGCCGCCCRCGCCCGCCCGGCCCCGCCGCTTACCCCCAGCTTCCTGCTCTTCATTTTCACGTAGCCCTGCTTGACGATGTCGGTGACATTCGTAGCCATGGCGGAGCCCGGCTCCCCTCGCCGCCAGCACCCTCGCCCCTCGCCTTCGCGCCCCACTCCTCCTCTTCCTCCAGGCACCTGCGCCGGGCTGCTCCCGCCGCCTCAGCGCTGCCCGCGCCCCGGCTTTGTCCTAGCGCCGGCAGCCCTCATGGTGCCCGCGGCGCTGGCTCCCGCCCCGGCACCGGCTGCGAAACAGAAATGACAGATAGATTAGAGATAGTGACATCTTTCTCTGCCGCTCTCCGGCGCGCGCCCCCTCCTCCTTTCTCTCCTCCTCCCTGCTCTGGCTGAACCATCGCGGAGCGGCAAGGTGGCTCGCGGCGGCGCAGTGGAACAGTCCGACCTTAACCCCTGCCCGCGCCGCGCTGCCGAGCGCCCTGCACGGCACCTGTGGCAGGAAGGCAAAGCGAGGGGCTGCGCACCCACGTCCCCCTGGTACTGGGCGATGCCAGACCTCACCCACGGGTCTCCACCACCTCTCGGACTCCGCCAGCTCCCTCACAGGCTTCCCGCTTGGGCACTCAAGTGACCGTAGCCAAAGATGGGGGCATCAGTAGGCTTCAGGGTTAACAATGTCTTGCTCCCAGCAYTGAAGCGCTGCAATAGCGGGGCTTGCACCCCTTCCGCTGCCTCTGGCTTGGGCGATGCTCCGGCAAGCACTGTGCCGAAGATCCCAAAGACAAACAGAGCCGGTGGGTGCCTGTGTGCCCGGCACCCGCATCCCGGCCAGGAGCTGGGGCTCCCTCGCCCGCCGGTGTCGCTTCTGCTCCCTCCCGGCATTTCCCTCCCGTTCCGAAAGGGGCATGGGGCCAAAGCCGCGTCATTCATCTCCTCGGCTGCATGAGGAGATGCCATTCCCGAGCCCAGGCCACCCCCGGCAYGCTCCGCTTGTCCCTCCTGTGCTGGCAGCCTCGGGTGCTGCGAGGGCCCGGCCCGGCTGCACGAGGATCCCGTGGCCGCCCCGGCCGCGCCAAGAGCCGCCTGCCACCCGCGGGCACGAGCAGCCGGTGCCAACAGGCGGCACGGCGCCATGCAGCYCCGCTCCGGCCTGCATGGATCCTCCCTAGGGATGGGATGAGCTCGGCCACAGCCTCCTTCCTTCCCCACGTGGGGAGGAGCGGGAGGCGAGACCGGAGCAGATCCGGGCTGTCAGGAAAAGCCTTTGGAAGCGCCTTGGCCTTGACATGGATGAAATCACAGCCTGGATTTCCTGTGCGCGCCGGCCCAGCGAGCGCGGGCCCGCGGGGCGCCGGAGCGGCCGGAAGCGCTCCAGGATTTGCTCCGAGTGAGCCTGGTGCGGGCCGGAGAAGGACGCGAGCGCGTGGCAGCCGGGGTTTCGGGGGGACCGCGGGTGGCCCTCAGGGGAAGCAGCCAGCCCCAGGGACAAGAGCCCCCCGTCATTCCCGCTGCTGCCTCTGCACTTGGAGCAGTGCCTTTCCTCCATGGAAAAATCCCYTCGGAAGGCAGTAACCAAGGAGACAGCCTGTGGCAGCGGGACGGCAGCTCCTCCCCGGGGAGGGTCGGGACGCCGCGCAGCTCGGCCGCTGCCAGAGCGCCTCTGATTATCCGGGACAATCCTGCAGGCCTGTCCCACAGCCGCGCACGGCAATGCGGCCCGCTTCGGGATCGGGAGCAGCTTCAGGGAGCCACTGTGACCCYGGCCTGGCCCCTCGGGAGCTGCCCGGGGACGTGTGTGCCCCGGGTCGTGTCCCTCGCGCGCGGTGGCACCGGGGAAGCCGAGGACGCAGCCGGGCATCTGCTGCCCCTCCGCACCTGGGTCGTCCCAGGACCGCGTCACTGCACAGACCTTGGTCACCTGGACCGGGCCACCCCCGACCTGTGTCACCCTCGGACCTGGGCTGCCCCAGGCTTGTGCCACCCCCCACACTGCGGCCACCTGGACTCCGGCCACCTCCCCGTCCTCCCATGCGGTGCCACCCCCAGACCCTCAGCCACCCCAAAGCCGAGGCAGCCCCCTGACCTCAACCACCCCGAGGACCTCGGCCACCGGGGACAGTGTCACCCACAGTCCTTGGTCACCCAGGTCTCGGCCGCCCCTCGACCCGTGTCACCCCCCGTCCCCCCACCTCGCCGCAGCGCCC